CCATTTCCCATCTGCCTTTGGCCCCTCACCCAAGATTGTCTATGTAAGCTTAGAGGCTTTTCTTCTTCTAAAGATCTCCCATCTAAGTTCAAAGACTTAGCCTTCCAAATAATATGAGCTATAGTCACAGTTTATGATGTCATGTTTGCTGCAATGCTTTGTTGTAGTTACTGAAATATTCACAGCCTCAGTCAGTGCTTAGATCTTAAAAGAATTATAAGGGGAAGTCAAACTCCATTCTTCAGTAAAATGCAGCAGAACAACTAGAGGTAGTCCCATTGGGTAATGAAAAGTTTAAAAAATACGTCTATCTTTAGATCATTAGGCTTACAAAGCCCATCTAGATTCTCTGATTAGACTAGGACTCTATCCTAATGAGATATTTTAAAAGTAAGTTAAAACAGCCACATTTTAATCTATGTACAACTCCAGCCATGAATTTCTAAAACTGCATTTGAGTACAATACTGTATTATTGTATTGCCTAAAATCCAAGGTGCATTAAATTTTTTTTTTTTTTTACATTCTAGTAATTAGGCAGTTTTATGGTCAATGTATAAAGTTATGTTGTAGTGGTTCTTTTTCTTTAAAAACTGATTTCAACCGATAGTGTATCTTGCAACTAATGAAGACTTAGACTCATGGATATATGGAATTCTATTTTTTCCCACCCAAATCTCATCTTGAATGAAATTCTAAAATCATATTGCTTTCTGATGATGTTACCTAAGGTGATTAGTCTGGCTTTTTGATAACTTGAGGATTGGCAAAAAGAACAATTTGAATATATAAGAAGGATAGTCTGAAAGGCTTCATTATATTTGATAATACATATGCACAGGTGCATAGGAGAGCCATCTCTCTGATTAATATTCGAATTTTCCCCCAACTGCTTGGGGGCTGAGGTGGGGGGATCACCTGAGCCCAGGAGGTTGAGGCTGCAGTGAGCCATGATCGCACCACTGCACTCCAGCCTGGGTGACAGAGTGAGACTGTCCCTCCTCAAAAAAAATAATATTCGGACTTTTTAATGTTTCAACATCACCTTAAAGTTCCCTCATATTTCTTGAAAAATGAAATATCATATTTATGATAGTAAAATTTCTGAAGAAAAGCAAAAGCTCCTCCCCATAGCTCCCAGAATCTCCTTTTGTGACTCTCAGTGCACCTCCTTCTTTTGAGAACCCCTGTGAATAGCTAGGGTGGCAGCCATACCTATTACTTTCAGTCTATAGGATTGTACTTTGACATGCTACTACACACCATGCAAACTCAACATATACAGCGCAATGCTGGGCACACAGCAGTTATTTTAAAAAATACCTTCTGGCTCACTGATCTGAAATTTAAAAAACCGTGTTCTAATTAGCCATACACACAGCTTTAAACAGTTGAGAAAACACAGATTTCTAAGGGTCCCCTTTTTCCTTTTATCCTTTGAGTTAATTTTGACATAAACTTTTACACAAATAAAAGCAACCATTAATAATTCAAACCCTGAAAATATTTTTTCCCTAAAATAATTTTAAAGGGTATAAACCCTTTTCTATTTTGGTAGCAAACATGAAAATTACCACACCTAAAGGTGGAATACCACCTTCACAAAACACTTGCATGGGAGATGGCAACCTCCAATGGTCAAGTTAATATCGACAGTGAGATATGATGCTAGAAGTCGATCACATGAAATACCCATCATAATTAACTTGAAATCACTGAATTACTGACAATGATTATCTTTAGGAACACCTTCTTATTAACCATGTTGCAAGTTGGTTTGCAAATATTTTAGTTAGCAGAATTGAAAAATAATAAACTGGCTGGGCATGATGGCTCATGCCTATAATCCTAGCACCTTGGGAGGCTGAAACAGGTGAATGAATTGAGGGCAAGAGGTCACATGGTAGGACCCTGATTCTACAAAAAGTACAAAAATTTGCTGAGCATGGTGGTGCACGCCTGTGGTCCCAGCTACTTGGGAAGCTGAGGTGGGAGGATCACCTGCCCCTGGGAGGTCAAGGCTGCAGTAAGCCATGATCATACCACCCTATTTCAGCCTGGGTGACACAGTGAGACCCTGTCTCAAAAAAAAAAAGAATAAAGAAAAAAAAGAAAAAATAAAAATAATAATACATATATACACAAAAAGGAAAAGAAAGGGAAGGAAGGAGAAAGGAAAGGAATTTATCTTAAAACATTTAATTCAAATAAATTTAAAATTCCTGATCTCTAAAAGTCTACATTTCAAAAAGAATGAAAAGTTATCTGAATGCTGACATTACAACAGGCATATGTAAAGGTTTTAAATTTTAAAAATTATATGGCTGTTGTCCACAAATCATGATTATAAAGCAACCACCTAAGACAATTAAATCAATTTTATTTTTTGCTATCTTATTCTATTAGAGCCAATTGAAGATATAAGAACCACAGGGCTTATAGACAACAGAAAAAAAGTGATTTGCTTTTGCCCCCCCTTCCACCTTTTCATTACCCACTTACAGACAGAAATTAAACTATGTGCTTGATTTTTCAAGACCAGAATAATGTAAAAACCTCCTTTTTCCTTTGTACAAATTGAAAGGCAGAATTAAAATCACTTTCATTCTTTTCATGTTGTTTGGCCCAATAGCTTCAGGAGCACTATAATAGTTTATTTTAGGCCTCACTGAAGTGGAGGCAATATCCATAAAATTTCCACAGCAACAAAAGAAACTGTCATCGAAGCACAGGTGATTTATCATTAGGATGTATATGCCTATCATGTATGTATGTGATGTTTTTAAAACTCTGTACAAATGTTTTTGAATTACAACATGTATGACATGTTCAGGCTTATTATCCTACATTTGGTACACTATTTGGAAGTCTTGAATTTGCACTTTTCCAAGAACTGTAGTGAAGACTAAAAGGCAGAGGAAACTGATTAGTTTTTGCCTCCAAATATCTTACCTGCCTATGTTTAGTTTACAAGCTCTGATAATGTTATTTTCAGGCAAGCTGTGAATTACATAAGTCAAATGATTTTGAAATACATAAAGAAAAGCCATAGCTTGAATTGTTAGTAAATAAAGACCTCTCGAGATTCATGTCGACTTTCCACATAAAAAGTGGAAAGCTACATTTCTGCAAAGCAACTCACCCACATAAAAAACAGTCAAAAAGGACTTCATTTAATTAGTGATATGTAAAGACTCTTGCATAGAAAAAAGTTACAAAGTAATGCAAAAAAGACTAGGTACAGTAATTTTAAAACAAATATTTAAAAGTATAATTTTGCATAATGTTTAACATTCTCATGTTTATTGCTTTCTCCACACAGCAGAGAAATGAAGTGCATAATACATGCTGTGTCTCTTATCTTTTAAACATAAACTCTCACGTGCTTGATTTCAACGTATTAAGAGATTATTTTGTCATTAAATGAAATCAAAAAAAAAAACAAAAACACAACACCATTACATAGCACTAGTTTAGGCATGGACAAAAATAACTTATGTACATCCCATTGCATACATTCATCTTGCTTTGGGATCAAATGCAATCACTATCTTGACAAAGAGCTTTAAAAACTGTAGCTTTTCTCTTCCCAGTGCTCCTTCCTTGCTTCATCACCTCCAGAAATGTAACTTCTCCCAAAGGGTGACAAGAGTAGATGTTGTATTATTAGGAGAAAATGAAGAGGATAAATATATAAAAATAGTCCAAATGAAACTGAATAAATTAATCCAAACTCACACAAACTGGAGAGTTTTCAAGTTGGCATGAATTAAGTAGCTTCTGGTGGGCACATGGTAGGCAACTGCTCTTAGGTGCACTATATAAAGTCAGGTTTATATAAAGCAGCACCATATTTTGAGCCATCCAAAAAATAAAAGTGCCTGCGGGCTTGCAGGCAGAGCAGAAATGCTTGTTAATCTGAGAACTGATGGAATAATTGCTTATACCAAATGCACTGCTAAATGTCACCTCTTGGCATGTCTGTACAAAGAAGGCAAACTAAGATAAAACTATGTCTTTCAACTTGAAAATTACTTTCAGCAATCATTTTGACCAATAAAACCTGTTAGTTTCAGCAGAATACTCTTCTCTGGCATGGTATTCAAATGTCTGCAGCATATTGTAAGACTTCTGTCCCTTTGCTTTCTTAACCTAACTCCACACTCGTCTTTCCTTGTGCAATGTTATATATCCAGAAGAAAACTTCCTAAGCTCAGGCACTTACGAAACACGACTCTCTCGCTCTCCTCCCTATGTATTTCCCATCTAGTCTCAAGAGAATTGAGTCAGGGCATTTTTCTTCCCCAGTTCAGACATACTGATGCACTGCTGGAAGGTACGGTCCATATATTTTCCAGGAAACTTCTAAATGGTAACAAGTATGAAGTTTTCAAAAGTTGCTGATGTCAGTTACCGAGCTGCCTTAAACCAAACAAAAAGGGGAGAGAGACAAAAAGAGAATACCACACTTCCACTCGTGAGGTTTGTGTCTCAAACAGCTTTATTGTTCCTTTGTGGATCTGTCGGCATCTGTATGGCTACCTTCAGGGTGCAGAGGTTTTAGGCTGACTCTGAAAGGGAGGACATTGTTACTATTGCAAGAAGTTCAAGAAAAATTTAAAAAGCTCCAACTTCTGTCCCCCAGGGTCGGTAAGGTTTACTGTTTGTTCCACTGCTGGTCTGCTGAGGACTGGACGTGGCTGATACTGACAAAGGTGGGCTGATGGCTGTGGCCGCAGCTACTGCTGCTGCTGCGTTTGGGGGAAGCATGGGGAATGCTCCCGCAAAGGACAGAGGGAAGCTGTGCGCAGCCGCAGTGGCTGCTGCGGCTGCGGCGTGGACGGTGGCCGAGAGGGACAAGAGAGACGTGGAGAGAGGTGGCACGCAGGGGGCGACGCTGCCCGTGGATGGCATTCGGAGGGCTGAATCCGCGTGGGCAAACGTGGCCGTGAGGAGAGCAGAGCCGTGGGCAGGAGGCACTTCTGAAGTTGTGGAGAGGCGACAAGGGGTGGACTCCGAGGCGTGGAGACCGTTGGGCTGGAGCAGGGCTGTGGGCAGGTGGTGGAAGGTGGCGGCCCAGTGATGCGGGTGGAGGGGGTGATGGTGGTGGGCCATGGAGGATGTCATAGCCGCCGCCTCCCGCTGGGAGGCGCAAGTGCTGAGATGAGACACAAGCCGCACCCGCAGCGGATCTGAGGAGTCCAGGCCTTCCACGGAGCTCAGGTACCGTGCCACTTCTGTTAGGCACTCTCGGAATCCGATGCTCATGAAGTCCATGGCAAGAGCGTGTGCGTCAAAGTAGCCTAAAAGTGGGTTTGAGCAAAGTGGGGGGCAGGAGAGAGATTGAGAGATAGAGATGAGAGAGAGAGAGAGAGAGATGAGAAAATGGTACAGTTAAGAATAACTACCCCATGATGTTCCACTCTGTCCTTCAGAAGACTGAAGTGGAACGATAATCCTTTCTGAAAATATTGCCAGCTATTTATGGTTTTAATTTTTTGCAGAAGTTAAGAAAGTATACTTTGCCACTCACATGTGTGACAACTCTGGCAATGCAATATACTACAGTTGTTCTTGCAGCTAAATATCACAGTGGGGAAAAAAAATAAGAACATCCACGTTTGAAACACTTCCAGAGAAAGAAATGGAGTCTCCCCTTTTGTATTGTGGGATAGTGAAATTCCCCAGGAAACGTTTTTGTGGAATTATAGAGTTCCAGTCTCTCTGTCTCTCTCACATGAGTTGGAGATTAAAGGGCTTATCTGAAACATCTTTACTCTCTTGGCATTTTAACAGAGACGCAAGTGCATCTTAGCAGCTTGAGGACTTTCGAAATGTGCTAGAATCGCAATAAATTCATAAATGCTCCTTGACTCACAATGTTTTTTATCAACAAAGTGAAAACATCTTGTCATAACTTTGTATAAAAAATTTAATGAAAACAAAATGAGTTTTTTTTTTTTTAATTGGTTTCTTATTTGAAGATCTTATTTTTCTGTCAGTCATATAAGGCTAAGTTCCTGGTATGAAAACACTATAGGTTAACTCTTAGTTTTTCTGAAGTTCAAATATATGTCCTTACATTTTTCTGGTATATGCCCAACAAAAGAATGTATATTAATTTTGTCAGTGTATATGCATGTACTCTTATACCTATAGTTACTACCCTAAAAATGGCTAGAGCTTGGTCACATTTATCTGAGTCTCTGCCCAAAGATAATACATTAGAATAGAAAATAATGTTGGCGGGCGTGGTGGCTCAAGCCTGTAATCCCAGCACTTTGGGAGGCCAAGGCGGGCCGATCACGAGGTCAAGAGTTCGAGACCAGCCTGACCAATATGGTGAAACCCTGTCTCTACTAAAAATACAAAAATTAGCTGGGCATGGTGCCATGCACCATGCACCATCCCAGCTACTACGGAGACTGAGGCAGGAGAATCACTTGAATCCAGGAGGCGGAGGTTGCGGTGCCATGTACCATGCACTATCCCAGCTACTAGGGAGACTGAGGCAGAAGAATCACTTGAATCCGGGAGGTGGAGGTTGCGGTGAGCCAAGAGCATGCCATTGCACTCCAGCCTAGGCAACAGAGTAAGACTCTGTCTCAAAAAAAAAAAAAAAAGGAAACAATAATGTCTAATTTAGGGTACAATAATAATCAGATATTTAGGGAAATATTACCTACTTTGAATGAGTAATCTCTGGTATGTACAAACAGATTTTTCATTTCATTTACCACTTGTAAAAAAGCAATTTTCAAATCAAAAGTTTAGTCTATTCATTTTTCGGATGTGTACATACATAAGAAATATCACAAGGTTATTTATTAACTTATTTATTTATTTATTTAGACAGAGTCTCACTCCGTTGCCCAGGCTAGAATGCAGTGGCTTGATCGCTGCAACCTCTGCCTCCTAGGTTCAAGCGATTCTCCTGCCTCAGCCTCCTGAGTAGCTGGGACTGCAGGCACATGCCAACACAACTGTCTAATTTTTGTATTTTTAGTAGACATAGGGTTTCAGCATGTTGGTCAGGCTGGTCTCGAACTCCTGACCTCATGATCCGCCTGCCTTGGCCTACCAAGTGCTGAGATTACAGGCATGAGCCACTGCACCCAGCCCTAACTTATTTGAGACAGAGTCTCACTCTGTCACCCAGGCTGGAGTGCAGTGGTCCAATCACAGCTCACTGCAGGCTCCATCTCCCAGGCTCACGTTATCTTCCTGCCTCAGCCTCCTGAGTAGCTGGGACTACAGGCATGCACTACCATGCCTGCTAATTTGATTTTTAGTAGAGACAAGATCTCGCTATGTTGCTCAGACTGGTCTAGAACTCCTGAACTCAAGCAATCCTGCTGTCTTGGCTTCCCAAAGGGCTGGGATTACAGGCATGAGCCACCACAGCCAGCAGTTATTTTTATCTAAAGCATTTACTACATTATCTGCTTATATTTTTGCTGATCAAAGTATTACCTGTTTAATCATCACCTATTAAAAACTAGACTATCTTAATCTGTAATCAAAGAGCTTTGGAAATAGTAGTCACATATATTCAAAGTCCTAAAGCTAAAATTCCAACAATTTGGAAGTCCCCAAAAGATATTTGTGGCAAATATACACAGTATTAAAACAGAAACAAAAACAGTACAAAGCTGATTACCAAGAGAATACCATGAAATATGGAAGATCAGCAGCAAAAATAGTTATCATCCCAGGACTCTGACATAGTTAGCAAACACAGCACCTTGAATTAGGATGAAACGTTATTCCTGAAGAAGAGGTATTCATGTAAGATTTCACATTTTGGTCCTCAGGGTTCTCTCTAGGGCTTTGCAGACTTCTGACTCCCATGAAAGAAAGATGGGGGTAATGAATAGAATAGATAGTGTCCAGAAATCCAGAGGGATTTCGAAGCTTAGGTTATTCTACTAAATCCTCTCTAGATACTATTGTCATACCAAGACAGACTGTTAAGAATGACCTACCAGAATTGGAGCCCCAAGAGCTTCTAAGAATTTTCTTTACTGGTCATGAAGTAATTGAAATTTGTGGTTTGCCTGCTATGTTGTTGTATATGGCTGAGCTTTCTGTTGTATCTTAATGAATATAAATTATGTAATTCCTATGCTATTGTGAACTTCAGAGGGAAATAAGTAGCTGTCTTTTGTGAATGGATCTTGGGCCAACAGTAACATACATGTTCATACCACTTCCTCTGTGCCAGCACTATCCTCTGGGCGTTAAGTGAATTAACTTGCAACAGGCTTATGAGTTATAGTATAGATAATATAACTGTCCTCTTTTTACAGATGATAAAACTGGAGCTCCAGGGGTCAGTAATTTACCCAAAGTCACAGAGCTAATCAATGGCAGAACCAGGATTTGAAATCACGCAATCCAGCTACAGATGCGACGCCCTTCACCACTGTACTATGAGGCAGCTGGAAGTCTTTTCCAGTGCTAGCCCAAACCACCAGCTCCCTTCTTGAAGGCCATTGTCCAGTGCAATGACATCTTCAGTGACCTGACAGTCAGGCAGCGTGTATAGCACCTACTTGGAAATGTCTGTTCACAAACTATTCTGGGACAAATTTTAGGACTGTCCAGGTAGCCAAGAATAGCAACCAAGATGGAACTTAGTTTTTATAATAAAGCCTAAGAACAATATTACTTTTTACAAGTACTGCTCCTGCCAAATATTTGAAACCCTGATAAGAAAACTTAGACTTGTGGCTAACAATCATAAGGGAAATAAAGCAATCAAACAAATTTTCTTGCAGCATGACTAATTCAATCAGTCTCTTAACATCCTGAGGTAACAGTTGTAGAGACAGGATCATGGGGCTGCAGGGGGCTTTGGCGCTTATTCTGCTAGTGTAGCCCTCAAAGTACAGCAGACTACTTTTTTCTTAGGTCAAAGGCACAGCAACAGTCAACCTAGATGGGATCATTGGCTTTGGTGATTTAATCAAATTATCTTGTCTATTATGTAAGAATGTTTGCATCTCAGGCCACTGTATCTCACTCAGGATGGTTCCTTGAAAAGGTACAATCTGGGGTAACTCAACCCATTGGGGCTTCTCTATACAATGGTTACCCTCCCTCCCTACTAGACACAGGTAAAAGATGGTTAAGATCAGGGCTGATGTCCTAGGGATCCTCAACGGTATGGCTGTATAGGAGTTAAATACTGGTAAACAGTTACTTCCCTCCAATGCCCTGCCTCTGCCCTGATCTAGGACCCATATACTATGTAGTAAAAGGTTAATGCTGAGCACAGGGAGGCCTCCAGGATTTAGTTGCAGCCCTTAAATCCGTGTGACACCTTCTCCTTATTCAGTTGTTAAATATACTGAATAATACCCTTGGCTAAGGTGAATATCAAAGGATTCTTTGAAGGATGAAAAAGATTCAGAGGGGCAAAATCAAGTCTGACTTGTGATGTGTAAGTCGGATAATGAAATCTGAGTGAACTAGGATCTCAAGGCTATTTTTAGCACGAGATGAGAGATCGTCTCTCACCACCTTGACAATTCCTCCCTAAGTCACTATCTAGTACTGAGGGCACCTCTCCAGGGCCCTGGACCTGGAGTGCCTGCTCCTGTTTGCTTTCCCCAGGAATGACTCTGCTCCATTAATGGCTTCTAGTATAGAGACTTCCTACCTGCACTTCAACTATTCTGTTTGGTTTCAATTCAAGACCAACCAAAATCTAAAAGCAATAATGAAAAGAACTCTAGAGTCACTTCCTTTGGAATAGCTGAATTATTTTCAGTCTTAGCTTTCACTTAGTGTAGAAGAAGGAGAACAAGCAGTAGGAAGAAAGAAGGAGGAGGATAGAATTGCATCTAACCTCCTGTTTATGTTTGGATGTTTGTGTTTGTGTGTTTTTTTCTTTCTGTACAGATTCCAGCATGCGCTTCTTAAGTCCTAAACAAATCTCGGACCAGGCTGCTCTGAATGAAGCTTTACTCCCACAGTATTATGAAAGCAAACACAAGCCCAGGGTCAAGTGCTTCTTTTGTTCCAGAAGTTCTTTCCCACGAGTTCAATCCTGCCATTAGCATTGATTTCCACGGCTTTAATCTGGGGCCGCCTATCCCAGCTTGTTAAAGAACTGTTCAACTATGACTTCCTTACAATATTAGGGGAATAACATGAAAAGAGAAAGGTAAAAAAGGCGAAAAAAAATGAAGTCATCTACTTACCTTTACCCCCTGTTGCCTGAAGCATCTTCAAATGATCCACTGTCATTTGCAATATTTCAGCTTTTTCTAACTTTGCAGATCCCTTCATAAATAAATATTATCATATATTAATTATACTAATATACTAATTTGAAACATTATACACTGAATTTAGCATTATGGCTTCTCACTAAACAATTCCAAGTTTTATTTTTTCACAGAAAACTTTGAATTCTTTCCAAACTTTACATGAAAGCACTAATTAATGTCATACCTAATGACAGGTATTTGCCATTTTAACTTTTAGAGACTAAAAGAAAGTAGAATGACTTTTAAAAATCACAAGAATAATTATTCTCCTAAGATTACCACAGCAAAACTATTTCAATTGCAAAAATCTCAAACTTTGCATTCAATCTGTATCTTGATTAATAATAATATGTTTTATTACGGGGCATGGATAGTCTTCTGTAAAGCCAAAGTCTAGAGGAGTTGAATAACAACTCAAGAAGATAAGGAGATAGGATTTTAGCGATTTATTGTTAAACTTTTTAAAAATAGAAAATTCTAATAAGCCTTCTCACAGGCCTACTAAATTCTGAAATAAGGAATTCACACTAGAACAATATAATTGGATCTGCATTTCCAGCAGATCCAAAAATTTTAAAAGGGGAAGATTTTTAAGGTTTTTCTCCAATAATTACCAGCAGGTGTCACTGTGAATTTCTAAGCTCACAAACAAGAAGCAATAATTTACTGTTTACCTAGGAAGCATGTTAAATGCTTAAGGATTTTTGAACTTTTTAAAATAGTTCATAATAAAATTGTCTTGCAAATATATTTTTATGTCGCTGCTTTTCAAAATAAGGAAACCTCTGGTAACCAATTGAAATAGAAATGTGCCATTTCAAACTGTCTGGGGAGGGGGGCTGTGGGTGGCTTCTTATTTCCTGGAAGAGCTAAATAATTATACCAATATGTTCTCATTTTTTTTCTTTTTAAGGATACTAAGGTTTATTTCAGGTCCCTGTGCTTTACTAGTTCTGTGAAAATTATCAGCACCACATACAGTGAGAGTGCCAGAGTTATTTAACTGCTCTAAAGAACACTCCTCAAATCATATTGTGACAGGGCCAACACACTAGGGTTGGTAGCCAGGTTCTGCAAATGGGAGCGCTTGTGTTTATGGTAACTAAGTGCCAAACAACTGAGGTTTGCTTTTAAGGTTTAAGTCAATATTTAAGAAAAAAAAATCTAACAAACCAAGAAAAGAAAAATATCAAACAGACTTCTCCTCATTCTGCAGACCTTTCAGTACTCCAAATTTTAATAACATCATTGATTACTGGCATTTTCACTTGAAGCGGATTGGCACTGAAAATGCCACTATATCAAAACTACAATTTCCACGTTATTTTTAGTTGATCAAAGACAGTCTCTGCATATAGATTGGGTGTCTTTTTTGTCTTAAAAAATGTATAACCAGTAGCATATTATGTTTTGTACTTTGTCAGTGTTTAACTTTTCCATGACAATGGTCCCAAGTAGATTCAGTAAAGTCATAATTGAAACTGCAGTTTCTGGATAATTTCCAAGGACTTTGTAGGGCTTGTTTTATAATGTTTGCAGATTCATGAAGTAAACAAACAAAATGGAATAAACAAACAACTGCTGTCTTATACCCTACTGGAATTAAATTGAAAGTATTTTCAACAAGGTCATGCTGCTATGTCCTTTGAAAGATGCTCTTAGAAATCTGTCATTAGCCATTGTGGCAGGGGGAGAGCCATGACTTTTCTAAAACCACAAAAGAAGATTTAAACATTTGGCTTTCTACTTTTCTAAGTGTGCAAAATCTTTTCCTTTCTTTTTTTTTGGTAAAGGAATACTTGAACTATGAAAAGGGGCATTTATGACTAATTCCGTTTTTACTAAACTTCTAGAAAGATGCCCCAAATCAAACAGCGTTCTACCAACCAAGGGATTAAAAATGAAAACAAATAGCTTGATAAATAAATTTTGTATTATTATTTAGGAAATAGAGCTAGAGATATTACTTCTTGGGCTCTGATTATTTTCTAATTAAAAAGATTACTTTTTAGAAACATTTTGAGAAAAAAAAGATGTTTCATTATTTTTTTTTGAAGAACAGCACAGTTTTAAATAAAACCACTACTGGTATTCATAGAAGGAACAGAGAAAGCATGAACACTGTTACCCTTAAGGGGAAAATAAGCTAAAGAATGGAAATGTTTTTCAAGTTCATGATGGATTATGTTTTTAATAGTTTTGCCACAACAAAGCATTTTATTGAAATAGCTGCTCTGTGCCAGATCAGGGCACATACACCATTATTTTAACGAGCTTTAACAAGAACCCACATTCCCAGATGAGCGAATCAAATTGTTTGAGCTTTTTTGGAGAGGGCTTGGGGGAGTTCGTGGAGGGGCTAGCTTACTTGTTTTTCAAAAGCAGTTGGCACAAGTCTTCTCAACTCAGATAAACTGTTATTTATTCGATCCCGACGCCTTTTCTCTATAATCTATCCAAAAGAAGCAAATAACAAAAGTTTATGAATTCACAAATGATAAAATTACTCAAATGGAAAAATATAACTGTTAAACACTAGTATGAGTTACATGAAATAAAAAGGAGGAAAAATCACATACCCCTCTCCTTTTCTTTCTTGCCATAATCTGAGATGCTGTTGTTGGAGAATTCAATCTAATCACAGAGCTAGTACTTTGTCTATGAAATAAGAAGAGTATGTCAGGTGCTGCATTAACATAACAATAGTTTCTTCTGGGTACTTGGTGGTGCCCATTAAATATTCAGAATGATTCCATAGTTCAAATCTGCCTTATTTTATTCTTAGTTCTGCTTCTCTCTTAACACTTTTGCTTTTTAAAAAATGGGTAATCCAGATGCTAACCCATTGGCCAAAATGTCCCAGAATTTTTATTTGAGTCTCCCAGTGAAATAATTATGGGCAGTTAGGGTGAGAAGTTAGATATTAGCACTTCTTAGTTCCACTCATATATATTTTACAGTCAGCTAATCTCCTCAAATAGCTTCCCTTCTCCCTCCTGTCAGGCACACTGAACAAAGTAATGACACTTTTTCAAATCAAGGTTATGTTAAGCACCGCTATCAAACAGATGTGCAGTTGTCACACATCAAACTGTTGTCTCTAGGTGCAGACTTTAAAATAAATAGAAGTTTCAAAACTTCAGTTGGTCATATGTCGCAACAGGAAAAAATGGACAAAAGATGTTTTGCATGCTAATCTTCCAAAAATATACCCTAAATATGCCACTGATAGGAAAATTAAAACTCATTTTATTACTAGGTGAATGTTTTACTTTAAAAATGAAACTGTTGGTGTGTCTCAGCGTTCAGGCTTAGCTTAAATCTCTAGAAGCTGCAATTTACCTTGGATTTACTAATGAAAAGGTATTTTTATATTGAAAGTTCAATCAGAGTATTATTTGGTCACATAATTTTTATACTCCTTTCTAGTTTTTATCTATTTCTCTTCATAATTCATGGATACTACACTTCTTTGTGTTCTCAAATTCCCCAGGTTCCTGTTATTTGTTCTCTTTCATTCTAGAAACGCTGCACGCACCAGGTTGCTATTACCTCACCTTCTCCCTTCTGGGTCTTATTTCTGAATTACCTGTCCCCCACATTTTCACCCCTTCTTCATGGGTTTCACCTTTCCTGTGATAGCTTCTGTTTTTCAGACCTCATTTTTAAAGATGGCGCAAGAACACTTTAATAATTAGATACTTGAACCGTTGGTCTCATGCAAATATCTTTGCTCTTACAGATTTCAGGCTTTGCTTTGTATGTACTGGAATAACAATATGAAAGAAAACCAGTTTTCCAAAGGTAGGAAGAATTTCCCTCTTTGAGTGACAGCTGCAGATAAATAATTAAGGTGCTTCTGGGGATGCCAATTAGAAGTAATTATCATTTGACCCGCCTTGGCTCTAAAATGCCTCGGTAATCTCCCTCTGTCACAGGAAAGTGGAGGTCTGTCTTCTGTGATTACGACACCGATCTCTTCCAGACTTGAGAACAAACAGTCAAAGAAATGATGATGCCCTTTCCGATCCTTAACATCTGTCACTCACTCTTGGGTTGGCCAAATCACACACGGTCAACCTGCAAAGCTCAACCTACTTAGCCTTGAAATCACAGGTTGCTCTAATTCCTCCAAAAATCAGGTCGTGATTTCGGTATCTCTAAAAATTAAAAATCAAATTGTTTTTATTTTCTCCTGATCTATTTTGAAAGTGCACCCAAATACGGTTTCAGCGGCTGGGCCACCGCCTGTCGCCCGGACGTTGCCGTTCGCGCGTCCAACTCTGACAGCCAGGACCCTCCCTCGCCAACTCCGGCGCCCTGCCTTTCAGTGGCGTCTCCCATCCAGGCCACTCCGCCCCTACGGTGAAAATCCGCATCCCTTGCCCCATCCCAACTCACGCTCTGGGCGCCCACTACTCAAACTTTCTCGGGCAAAACTTTCCTTCTCCGCCCAGGTGCTGCTGAGAGTAGCCTCGGGATTTCCAGGGGGCCCCGCGTGCACCAAACTTCCCGACGCCTCCGAGCTCTGTGGCCGCTCCCGCCGAGCCCGCGCTCACCCGGAGTAATTGTTCTCGCTCCCCACGTCGATGGTCTCGTCCATGTCGCTCTCAGAGGTCGTCTCGTCGCAGGGGCGCTTCATGCCGGCGAAGACCGCGCGGGGCGCAGCCCGGCCGGAAGCTCAATCGCCGAGCAGGGCGCAGCACCCTCGCGCCCGCCTCCTCCCTCCCCGGGCCTGGGCAGGCGCGGCTCCGGCGGCGGTGGGGTCGGCTCCTAGCAGCTCTTTCCCACGCCGCTACTCTGCTCTGCTGCAAGAGCCGGCGCCGGCCACGCCCCCTGCGCGGGTGGGGCCACCTCGCCCGCCCCCGCTCTCCCGTCCCGGCGGTCCGCCCGGCACCGCCTCCTCACTGGTCGGCGTGGCCCGCGATTGGCTGGGCCACGGGGCGGGGCTGCGCTCGCCCAGGCCCGCCGCGAGGCTCTGGCCGAGGCGTGGGAACTCGGCCGCGGACCTGGGACCCCGGCGCTGTGCGCGGGCGGGCAGCGGCCGGGGAGAGCGTGAGCGCGGTCTTGCTAACGCCTGCCGGGGGAGCGCGCGGGCGCCAACGCGGGCGCTGCGGGGGCGGGCCGGTGAGGGGCGGGCCCTGGACCTCGGGTTGCAGCCCTCCTCCGCGCCCCGCGGTGTCGCGGGCGAAGTTTCAGTCCTGAGTGTAAAGAATAACCCCGAGCGCGTGGCTGAGTGCGAGCGGGCGCGTGTGACGTCGGGAGTCGTCGCGGCTTCTCCGGCTGCCCCACTCGGTGGTTGACTGGCTGACCCAAGCGGTCACATTTGCCCTCTGGGGCTTTTGAAAACTTTAGCTCAAAATTGCTTTTCCGTCTGACAACTCCCGAGGCTACTTCCGCGGCCTCCGGGCTGTTTCTTGTGAGGTCGCGAGTTTTTCCGATCAGGTCGGTCCGCCACGCTGTGATTTCTGGTTTGCGATCCATCAGTTACTTCCACTGGGTCTTCGGCCCCCAGGGACTGTGGATCCTAGACCCTGAGGAGTAGCCGTTGGACTGGAGCTGTGTCAGCTCCGATGGTAGGAAGGACTAGAGCAATGACGCGGGTGTTTCAGGACATAATCATAGTAGATTTTCAAGTTCGAGTTTTTCGGGCGTGGATCATTCAGATAATTGCCTCCATTCTCCTTCCAGTCCCCCTGGTGGGTGTACTCGCAGCCGCAGAGTTAAGAATCTGGCAAGTGAGGATTGGCCCTTGGAAATTAAATTTGGTTTCTAAAGTTCGAATTCGTGTCCAGCAGTTCGTGCCTCGGACAACGTGCCTTGTGTAAAACTCGAGTTGTGCGTTCAAAACATGTTTTACGGCTGCAGGTTCTCTCCACGTTCTGTAGGAGGTTTGAACCGGCCACCTGGCTGTGAAGCTGAGGGGGAAGGCACTGAGCGAGACCCAGCCGGGCGCGCGAGGGTCCGCTCGCCGGCTACGGCGCGGCGGTGCCTAGAAACGGGCGGCGGCTCCACACGTTAGCGGGGCCGCTTGGTCCACAGTGGAGAGAGAGCCTCTGAGAAAGGGGCGTCTATCGATCCCCACAACCCTCCGTCACGGGGATTAATACCTTCCTGGGGATCGGCCCAGGGCGTCCCTTTGACACTCTGTTCTCTGTCGACACAAGCCCGGCGCGGGGCGGGGAGAAGAGGAAAGGACGTTACCGGAAAAGACGGGACCCTGGCAGGGTTTGGACCAGGAGAGCGGAGGACCTGCGGCCAGCGTGCTAGGCCCTTATTGGAACACAACCCCCCTTCCCCACACACTCAAATCTCTTTTGCGTGATCCCCACCGCCATGCCTTCAATAACCGTGTGAATCGTTACATCCTGGCTTCTGAAACTTAACCCCGGGCAAAGCACACACCCGGCGGGACCGGGTGGGGCTAGATGGGGTCCGCACCCAGCTGCGGGGCCGCGGGGCTCGGTGAACCCCAGCTCTCCTGTCGGCCTCAGGACAGGTGCTGGGTCGGCGCGGGGTTCGGGGCCTTAGGTCGGCTGCACTAGGGCGGCCTGAGCACGCTGCGCGGAGCAGGGCAGGCCAGCACCCCGACGCAGTCCACGCTCCGACCCTGCAATCCAGCGGTGACGAGCCTGACGCGCGCCGGTTGCCTGCCACCTCCCTGCCCAAGCGCGGCAGGCCAGTACGTCCCGGCCACTGGTGAACGCGCCGCTGGCGAGCTGGATCGTCACAACTTTCCGTGAGGGCTGCACTTTTTTCTGAATGCAAATACCTACAGGTGCAATTAATGTTTGCCACAGGAGCAATTAGTGGGCGCGTCCAAACGCCCGAGGCAAAACCTGAGATCATCACTGAAAAAAAATCTAACGGTTCTTTGCCACTATACTAGTGTATTTAATTAAAATGATTGCGAAAAATTGGAAAGAGGGAAACGATTTGCTGGCAATTAAGTAGCAACTGGTTAAAGTTTTTTCATATTTGTCTTTGAAGACTTAACTGCTGTAGTATGTATAAAGAAGAATATAGCAGGGACGTTCGAAAGCACACACGGAATCTTGTGTCTGTTTAAAAAATTTTTAAGCAAAGAAGATCACATTTTAAAAGCATTTAAAACAGTGCCTGGTATATAGTAAGCGCCATAGAAATCTTGCATAGGGCAAGACAGCTCAGGATTTTTGAACGCTATCAAAAGAATATGCTTATTTATCTGAAAAACACAATGGCAATTAGGCAGCACAACATTTCTCCATTAGGTTGTTTATTCCCTTCAACTATTTATCCATTTGCCTGTCCCCTGCTTGAGCGCCCGATATGTCTATAACCGAAAGCGCGTTTCGGGTCAGAGACAGAAACAGACAGAGGAAACTTTTTAAAGCGCCCCCTCCGACTTAAATACCGTAGTGATTGGAGGTGGGGAGTGGGGTGGGGAGATGTAGCTGTGGCGTGTGCGGAGAAAAAGAAAAGGGAAAGAATAAGGGAACTGCGGGATTTCCAGCCTCCCCGCCCCTCTGCGACAACCTTTTCAGCGAAAGTGAAGGCGAAGGAAGAAAAGATGTCGGCGCGCAGAGCAAACC